GCCAGGCGCGTCGCAGCGTAACAGTGTTTCGTGAGATATCGCGAAGCCTGTTACGCGAGACGTGGTCTGGCGTACATCTACCTAGTATACTTCATACTTCTATCTTTGATTATAATTTTAATGTGCTCTGAGTCACGGAGTTTCTAAGGCTATTCTTCCTAGGAAGAAGTTATTTCAACTTGATATGTGCGGTATTTTGGAGATTCTCTTCGCGTCTTCGGACCGCCAACTTATCTAAATAACTTATTTAGATATCTAGATAAGTAAATAAGTTAGATTAGATATCTTGACGGAGTCTGGAAGATGTGCGCACGACAGCCGCTCGCCGAATAGCACTCGGTCCGCCCGCCGAGTATCTCATCTCAATGAGGGAATACCCCTTGCCCTAGCGAGCTCGAGGTGCAGAGTATCTCGGTGGACAGTCGGTGTTCGGGGAAGGCAGCACGAGTGCATGTCTTGTTCAAAGACACGCAACCCACCATTTGTTAGCGAAATATAAATGTCATTCACAATGTTGTATTGTGGCAAGCGGTAACGGTTTCGAAAAGAAAACCTTCCCGCAGGGAAGTCCCGTCTTGAAGCGAGCCGCCACGCTCCCTTGCATTAGTGAACTTATTTAATAATAAAAACCATGGAGCATAATGTAAAAATTAGAGTGACAATTGGGTGAAATCGGGATTTCCTGTTCGGTTTATTGCATTGTTCCCGACCGCACTCCCTTAAGTTAATGCAGCCCTGCACCCAGAGTTCTCAAACGGGTGGGTCTTGCAGCTGCTTTTGGACCCACCACTGCGGGTGCACTGTTAAAAATATTAGTGATTTTACCGATAATTCCTGAAATCTTGTACAGAAATAAAATGTAATTTTACCGAACACGTTAGTTTTACCGAAATACTATGGTAAAATTACAGTACCAGTAAAATTACAGATTTTCGGTATTTTTCACGAAAAACTACTGTAAATTTACACGCGTCTGTAAAAATCCACTCGTACTCTGGTATTATTACAGGTATTGGTAAAGTTACAGACTCTGTAAAGTAGTCTTTCAGATACTTTCTGTAATTTTTCGAACATATAAGAAATACGGTTAAAATTGGCCACAAAATTTGCTCAATGTTGAACTCTGGTGCATTCTAACAACGGAACCACGAAAGAAACCCAATGTTGTGATAATCACTAACCAAGAGGGCAGTTAACCGTATGGAAAGCCGCGTGGACAGTCGGAAGCAACATATTGAGTGCGGACGGGCTCCCTCCACGTCGCGCGCCGTAGCGCAATGGGCAAGGCATCGGGCTCACGACCAAGAGGTCGGGGGTTCGATCCCACCTGGGGTACAAGCGGTAAAAGAAGTTTCACCAATGAAACCCGAAGGCGGTTGACTATGAAATATATAGAACAAGAAACCAGCCGCCGAAAATATTTTTTTTTCTTGCATTATTACGTCAGAGGAATGTGGGTAAAAATTACAGAAAACGTTCGTAAACATAACTACAGAAACGTTTGGTATCAGTTTTACAGAAATTTTGTGGAGTTAGTTTTACCAGTGTCTGTAATTTTACAGACCCCTGTAATTTTACCAGACTTTTACATGGCAACTGGTATACCCAGACTTTTTCTGTAAAATCTCAACAAAAAATTTTAACAGTGTGGGGTGGGTGGGTCGAGCGGGTATGGGCTACCCGCCGCACCGTGCGGAAGGTGCAAGTGGGGGATCAACCGCTTTAACCGCGGTATCTTCCTTATTCAGTGTAGAATCAAAGATTTGCTCATAGTGTGTGCTCTTTAGAACAAATGCGTTTTGCTTCATAAAATTAAAACTGAAATTTTATTCAAAATTTATTAGAAACTACAAAGTAAAGAAGAATTTCTTCTGCTCACGGTGCATTTTTCAAAAGAAAACAAAAACTGGAAAACAATTTTGAAATGTTTTTTTTTGCAGATTATTGTCATTATCCAGTTTTGTCGTAGCGGTGCGTCCAATCACCTCTATTTCGCATATTTAGCTGGAAATTTAGGCTCAAGGTTGCATTGCCCCCACTGAGCCGAGCCGGCTGCGTCACCTATCGGCTCGGCTCGTAGTGCGCGCTCTCTCGCACGCCTGGCGTGCGGGGGACCCACCCGTTTGAGAACTCTGCCTGCACCGCTAAGGGCGGGCCACCGTCTCCGCACAGCTGCTTGGCTTTTTAGACAGTCCCTTGTGGTCTGTCTCTACCCGAAGGTAAAAGTTTCCCGTTTTGATAAATACTGCCGGTTTTCGTTATCCAGTTTTGATAAAGATAGCCGATTGACGTTCCCGTTCCAGTTTTGATAAGCCGATTGGCGTTGATAAAGATTCGTCTTGCTATAATATTAGGCTGTGGGGGAAGGCTTTCCTTCCGCGCGGTTGGAAGGCTTTCCTTCCGCGCGGTTGTCCATGCCAAGCCCGGTGGCAGTCCCTTGTCATCGCCCTGGTTGTGTTATAAACATAGCGCCCTCATCCCTTGCTTCGTGCCGGGCCATGGTGGGCCAGCCGACCCCTACTCAAGCCTCTTGAGGCAAGCTGCGTTGCGCCTCGCGCCCCGCGCCCCAGCCCCTACCCACTTAGAGCTCAATCGGCACCGGGCGCCACATGGCCCGTCCACTTGACAAGTGATCCCCAGCCTCAAATTTTAAA